TACTTTATTAATCGCCCTGAGGGGAAATTCAATAAGCATAGCCTACTGGTAGTCTGCCTCTGGTAAATACTTTCAGAATAAGCTAACCAAAGTGAAGCGATCTGATATTAATTCTATATCCATGTTTATTGTTCCTGGGGTCACAGTTAAAGCAGCTACACATTCTTCAGTGGAAATAATACAGATATTAACACCAACTGTTTATCCAGGCAGTTTATCTTTGTATGCTGATTGACAATTTGCACAGCCCTGTTTTTAAATGTATCTGGAGATATAAGAGAGAGTATTGTTTATTCGTTAGGCCTAGTATTCAGTATCTCCATTAGTTATTGCTGCAGTAAGAGCAACCCTTCCTGGCATCCACACAGCATGCAAAATAAGGCATAACATTAAATTATCACATCATAAATAATCCACAACATCAACAAAATTCAGTGAGAGAATATCAAGAGACAGCAGTAGTTTATTTCACATTCATGGTGTCATCTCACCAGTAGATGATCAAAGCAACCAGTAGAGCCCACAAAAAAGGCACACAGAAGTATGTGTGACTGCACACCACCACTAGTGTACAGCAAGCTAACACCACAAATACACTAACCTTCACAAGCAGAACATCATGTGTCACTAAAACTGATTTCTCTCCTAATAACTGCTGTTCTTAATATCTTTTTTAAAACTAATGCTACTGGTGATTTTGGGTGTAGTGGACCCACTGTGGCTGAATGTGCTAGGTCCGGTGCTGAATCTGGATTAAGTATTGTGGTATTTTATTCCAATTTGAAATAGCCCCACGTATTATAGTTTTATACACTGGTTTTTAAGCATCTCATAAAGACATGTCTGGTGTTATAATGGCATCTATCATTTGTGTGTGTTAGCTGTGAATACAGGTGTGTAGATTTTACACATATTTCTTTTCCAACATACATATAAGGAGGTAATGCATTGGAGTTTGTGAAAGGGAAAACACCTCATGATTGAAATGTTCTTGCTATAATTTAAATTAGTTTCTAAAAAAATGAACTGCTATACTCTTTACATGAAGAGCACACTGACACAGGGAAGATTGTATTCAAATATTTGCAAACCTTCACACCTCCATATGTATTTGTGGAACAGTCAACCCATTATCATTTCAGACACTGTGAACATTTCACTGGTCTGAACTTTTTCTGGTACTGGATCTCGCCTGTGGTGGAGATATGCTGCCCTGTGCTTGGGGACAGACTGGGGTGGAGCCCCAGCAGCAGGGGGAGCCGGGGGCGGGGGCCGGGTGTAAGAGGGGAAAACTTTGACTGGGTGGTTTCACAGGGAGCAGAGGCATTTGAGTCAGGGCACACATGCCTCAGCTGTGAGAGGCCCTACTCCCCTTAGCTGGCTGGCATCCCAGAGCAGAGGCAGAGAGACAGAGAAGGCTGAGAGCGTGAGACTGAGGGAGAAGAGAAAGTTTAGGTGTAAAGTAGACTAGACAGAGGCAAGCAAGTGGTTGAGAAAGTCGTGTGAAGGCAAAGAGAAAGGATCAGGAACTGAGCTTGTGCAGTGTGGCTCCTGCAGGTTGTTTTTCACTGGTGTATTTTTATCTGTAGTGACAGTGCAGGCGGTTTGTATTTGGAGCTGACAGCCATGGCGGATACAGGTGTCAAGAAGGAGCGCACAGGCCTAGCAGAAGTGCCTTATGATGATGACGAGGTAGCTCTGGTAGGTGCTGCCACAGAGCCTGCTGTGGATGATGATGATCCCTCTGAGGAGGTGGACCTGGTGCTGGCCACTGGCCCCGGAGGCAAGAGTGAAGCGCAGATGAACGGGGTCATGGTTCTGTCTCTGCTAGACAAGATCATCGGGGTGGTTGACCAGATTCAGCAGACCCAGAATGGGCTGGAGGCCCGGCAGGAGGCCATGGAGAAATCAGTGTCAACCATCCACGGGGAGCTGGCTAAGTTGTCCAAGAACCACGTCGGCACAGCCAACACTGTCAACAAAATGCTGGACAAGGTACGCAAGGTCAGTGTCAACGTCAAGACGGTGCGCAGCAACCTGGAGAAGCAGGCGGGCCAGATCAAGAGGCTGGAGAGCAATGAAAGCGAGCTGCTCAAGAGACGCAACTTCAAAGTCCTCATCTACCAGGTGAATATTGAAGGCCGCAGTATGTATGTGTGTGTGTGTTTGTGTGAGAGAGGTTGTTATTTTATCATGTTCATCACAGGCTGCACTGAGTAATAGCAAATCATCCTTGTTTAATAATGTGGTAATGCTTCACATGCAGCTGTTAAAGTTACACTCAGTTCATGTTAAAGGGGCGTGCTGCATTCCCCTGGCTGCAAAGGAAAGTTGGGAGGGGAGTGTGAAATGCACCTGAAAATCTATCAGACCATCAGAGCAACCTTTTGACATCATCTCACCGGAGAGAGTGAGAGTCACACTGTGGCTTGAGGTGACCCCTTGTTAGTGGAAATGTTCTGTAGGTGCTCAGGTTGGAGGATGCTGGCCAAAGCCTCGGCTCTGTGGTTTCCATGACATAAACGTCTGAATCACTGTTTCCTCAAGCTTAAACAAGGCTGTAATGTTTACGAAGAATCAAACACTGTGGTGCACCATTTAGAAGCTGTTGTATGCTTTGTGTTCATGCTGATTGAAAGGTTGATTCCTCCTCTCACCTATGCAGGTAACACTTGTAGCTTCTTTGGAAAAAACGAAGGCAGACAGTGTCCTCTCCCACTCCACAGGACCTCATGATTACCCAGTGAAACTATATAAAGCCTCGCCGGGTGTAAATAAAAAGGCCTATAAACACTGGCAAGGGCTATTTGAGACAGAACCAACGCCCCACCTCTGAGAGCTCAGAGGGCAGATAGTTGGCAGGCTGCTGTCATGAAAGATGAAGATGTTGGTTTTTATTATTAAGATCTTTTTGCAACACACTGGCATTCATGCATCCATGGTGTACAAACCTGCACTATAAAACCTGAGAACACAGTTGTGAGTATCAGGGCAGGGGTGAAGTTATTTAAGATAATATGGTAGCTCCTCCTCAGAGAAAGGAAATGGGTTGAAAAGTAAAATCGATAAAGGACGCATCATGAATTCATGTATTAAGAGTGTCTAACTGTGGTTGTGCATTTGAGACTGTATGCTTTTTTTCCTATCAGCAGAATGTGCTGTCATGACTGACTGGTAAACTCACAGCTTGCAGCATGCACAGCAGCACTCCTGCTTTAGTTTATCTGGGTTGTAAAAAGGTCTCATGCCCTTTGATCTGGAATTTGTCACAAATCAAATGGCAGCTCAGGAAATGTCAGAGGTAATCGCTGCACATCATCACCTCTGCAATTTGTCATCTGAAAAGGGGAGAAGATTTTCTTCAGAAAACATTAGTAACAGTGAATCTCAGAGTTGCAAGCCTCTCGTGAGTAGAGCTTACTTCAGGATCCGTTTTGGCAGGCAAACCTTTTCACCTCCCCCTCCTGGGATGTCCACTATGGGAGCAGGTTACACTATTGGCATGTAGCAGAAATCCAATCATAGACACTAGACCTTAATAAATTACCCCGCAAAGCAGGTGCCTCCTGCTGTTTTTGACACCGCTTGGTCTACTGCAAGCCCTTTCAACTGCACGTCTCTGTGTATTTGTCAGTGGACACTGTACATAAAAGGGACAGTTTGCAGATGGGTATCTTGTTTTAAGAGCTTGCGCTTGCATCTTATAAAGCTAATATTTTACTGTTTTTATTCTGCTCCTGTGTTTCAGCAGGCACACATCATTCTGAGTCATTTCCTGTTGGTGTTATCTCAGCTGTAATGCTCTTATCACTGTCTAAACTTGGGCACCGTCATGTTTCAAAGCAGTTGTAGGAGCTTTAGCTTCCATGTTGCAGTAGCTGTTCCGGGCTCCCACAATCTATTTATTACCAGAGGACGGCTGCACCGTGTCCAGTTTAATTAACCGACAGATAGGCTTGTCAGATATTGGCAGCATTGCAAATAAACTCTGGCTCTCAGTCAGGTTTCACCACTTTCCACTGTCTGTTTGTGTGTTAATGTGTTAGAGTGGGACAAGTTTAGACTGAAGTTAAGGATGAGATCAGGGTTAGGGTTAGGCCCGTAGAGGTTAGGATTAGGGTTACAGAAAACCTCCACGGCAGTAAAGTAAGCTAGTGAAGTGTCCTCACAAGTATAGTAATGCCAAGTGTGTGTGTGTGTGTGTGTGTATGTGTGGCCATTCCTTACCAATATCACCTTTCACTCCCAGTGTCAATATCAAGCGAAGCTGGAATTTGAGAAAGACAAGTGAAACATTTTCACAGCATTATCTTTGCTGTACAGGAGCTTATGTTCTGCTTTGTTCAACTGATACCAGTTTCCATATTTTTCTCTCCTGTCACTCTGGCTCTGCGCTCTGAGAATAGCCACATACTTCAGGATTTTTAGCCTGGAAAGACTTCAACAGTGATGCTTTATAATTAAACCTGCAATGATGACGGCACACAGGATGCCCTAGCAACAGCAGGGTGTGGCGATCAAGACATGTTCACCAAATGTACATGACATATCAGCAATGGCGGAAGACATATTAAGATCTTTTACTGATGTTAAAGTAGCATACACTGTTACAATCAAAAGTCCTTTAAATTACAGAAGTATAAGCAACAAAAAATACATGAAGGTCCAGTGTGCAGGCTTTAGGGGAATCTATTGGCGTTTTTGTGCAGGCCACCATAGTTCTCCTACCAAGTGGAAACCTCAGAGGCTGAAAAATGAAGTCAGTGCAGAAGTGCAAAAAATGCAATTTCTTGTATGGCCACTTGAGGCTGGCTCCACCTAGACCCCCCATGTTAAAATGTCCAACTTTACAGCAGAAATAGACATATATATATATAGCCTGGTAGAAGATATAGTTTTGTCTCTATAGCTAATTTTAACATCTACAACAACTGAACAGGGTTTGAATTATTATTTTACTCACCTGTCTACATTTTATTAATGCTTTAAGATATGCATATGTAAGGGTGGGGCCACCTGAGTGACAGGCTGCCTGCAAGGTGTTACCACAGTCTATGATTTAGCTCTACCCATCGCTCCACCCTCTCGCACATATGGTCACTTCTGGCTCTAAACAAACAAAATGGTGACAGCCAAAATGCCGAACTCAAGGCTTCAAAACAGGGGCCCACAAACCAATGGATGACGTCAGGGTAGCTACATCCATTATTGCACACAATCTATGTCATGCTTGGCACACTGGACCTTTAAAGTACCAAAAATGAAAGTACACATTATGCAGAACGGCCCATTTCAGCATAATAGATACAGTGGTGGAAAAAAGTTTTTGGACACCCCATGCATTTGTGAAATATTGCATTAAGAATCACTCTTAGGTCTTCAAGTGCAATTTCTTTTAGTACAGTCACAGCCAAAATACTAAATAAATCCTAAAAAAGCCATTAAAAACTTAAAATTGATTGGTTCCATAAAAATACATAAGAAATTTTGAGTATTGGGTCATTTTGGTACCAGTGATGAAGGTCGTTCTTTTTATTAAAAGACACAATTTTTGTTGCCAAGCTTCGTGTCTACATAAAGCCAGCACATTTGAAAGTTCTTCAGACACAAAAATGGCTAAAACAAGGAACCTAACGCAGGAAACACACCTGAAGATAAAGATTCTCAGCCAGGAAGGGTACAGCTGCCGCCAGATAGCCAGGAAGTGCAGATGCAGTCCTTCAGCAGTTGGATACACTCTGCAGAAATACAGACGAACCAACAGCTTGGAAGACAAACCAAGATCTGGGCATCCAAGGGTTTCTTCAGCAAGAAATGACTGCATCCTGATTTGCATGTGCAGGCAAAACCGCTGAATGACATCACAGGAGCTTCAGCAGCAGTGGTCAAACCAAACTGGTGTCCAGTGTTCCACCCGCACTGTACGTGGCCGACTTTTAGATCATGGCTTAAGGTCCTACAAGGCTATCAAGAAGCCCCTGATCAATGAGAGACAGAGGTTAGCCCGGCGTCGTTGGGTCCAGGCACACAAGAACTGGACAGCCAGGAATTGGAAGAAGATTTTGTGGTCAGATGAGTCCAGTTTCTAGCTTTATCTTCCTCCTACTAATGTGAGGGTACGCAGAAGGCCAGGCGAAGCATTATCTCCAGCATGTACAGTACCTACTGTCAAGCATGGTGGAGGCAGTATCATGGTTTGGGGATGCATGAGTGCTGCTGGTGTTGGTCATCTCACTGTCTGTGATGGCACATTGAACTCTACCAAGTATTGTACCATTCTCGAAACCCACATGCTCCCTTCTGCGCGTGCACTGTTCCGTCGAGGTAAAAACTGGATGTTTCAACAAGATAATGCCCCTTGCCACACATCCAAGGCCAGTAGAACTTGGCTGCAGGAGCACAGTATCCAGGTCTTAGAGTGGCCAGCTCAATCCCCGGACATGAGTCCCATTGAAAATCTGTGGTGGATTATCAAAAGGTCTGTTTCAAAGCATAAACCAAAGAATTTAGAAGAATTAAAAGCAGTAATTCAAGAAGAATGGGACAAGATTACCCCTCAACAGTGTGAAAGGCTCGTGGGGAACATGCCAGCCAGGATTAGAGCTCTACTACGTGCCAATGGCAGGACTACTAAATATTAATTTGATGATATGATGGTTTATTTATTTTTTGTTCAGTTTTGAACACATTCTCTGTTATTTGTTGACTTTGATACCGACAATGTTGAGAACTGACATATTGAAACTGTCAAGAATTTAGTTTTGTTAGTTTTTCTTGTAAACAATAAACAAAAAAATATAATTTGTATTTGTTTGTATCTGTCTAATGCAGCCACACCTTTTGAAACACAAAAAAGATTTTTCCACAAATATTTCATGATAATATTTGAGATTGTGTAAAATTTTAAGGGTGTCCACCACTGTATAGATATTTCTTGATTATTGATTTTTGATGGCATCAATTTGTAAGCATCACTAATGTTGCACCTGGTAAAGTTGGAGCTATACTACAACTTTATGTACTGCTGGGTAGCTTAATTTGTAATAATTCATTCTAATTAATTAATTATATTTTGCATTAATAATCTGCAAAATAACTAAAACTGTCAAATAAAAAGAGTGAAAAGA